AATTATGTTACGTGTAATAACAAATCAACGAAAGTAAATTACCAGACTTGAACGTCTTTTGAATCGCGAAATTTACCATTCTCCATTCAGGTTCCTTGCCACGGAATTCAACTTTTCCAAATTCTAAGAAGAAATTACATTGTTACGGGTGTAATTTTCGCTTCCGTCTCGCATACGATGTCTCGACTCGGAACTCACTCATTTTGCGCCATAATCTAATTTTGGCGGGGAATAGACCAATAACTGCTGTTTGTCTCTGTATTGTGTAAAAATTCATTCCCAACAGATTAGGCCTTGTTTTGAAAGAGTTAGAACGCATTCAAAGTTCAAGTAAGCCATCTAATGAAACTGATTTGACAGAAGAGAATGTGGCTCGTTGGACAACGCACTAGAGGATGAACTTGGAAGGGTTATCGATCGAACGCGATTTATTTCACGGGAAGTCCTATCGTGACCTCAGCTGTATTGTTTTCCATAACCGGTAGCTGATTGGCCAAACCAGCAATTAATTTCGTGGCTACGCGAGCCACCAACTACTGTGTAGAAAATTGATCAGCCAAACACCATGAAGTTAATTTCAACAAAGTTTTACAGGAGCCTATTACAGCACCTTTTGTCACGCAACAGGATATTCGTGGTAAATCGAACCCGCCCTGCCTTCTTGAGTTTTTAAGTCTAGATTACTGCAAATGAAAGCGTATTCCTTTCGCGAGTTGTTAACTTTTTAAAAAATTCCAAGAAAATGAGACCTACTATATGGAAACTCGTTGTAATATAATTGAAGTTGTTCCCAATGTTTAGCTGGCAACTTTCTGTTTATAAGTTTCGGTGACCATGCTCGATGGAGTGATTCGTATTTCTTTCATCCTTGAAAATGTCACCTTCTTCTTAGCGTCTAAACAATACAACACTCAGTTGTCCTCTTTCGCAATGCTTTTAGTACCTTCCGTGTCTGCATGTAGTCGCTGATACAATGCGTATTACGCTCAGTGAAATGTCAACATTTTCAATATATCTTAACCGTCTAAAGAATCCTTGTTACTGTTCGTGTCATCAGTATGAAACTTTGCTTCCGAGTTCCTGATCGTCTTCAAACAGCTTGAAGCTTACGGCGTTTGAGTTAGTGACTCATTATATCATAATCAATCGTGCCTATAAATTTACCCTTACAAAAATAGTGCCTATTTTATATCTATTTTATATCTATTATTTAAACTATTTTTTCCCTAATTTTTTGTATTTTTTCTCTATTTTTCCAGACTATTTTAAAGCTTTTTCTAAACAATTTTAAACCTATTATTTTGAAACAAAAAATAGTAAAAAAATAGTCTGGTTGGCAAGTCATATCTACTGTACATTATTCAATTTATTTGATTCATTTTGATCCAGTGATCCAGTGATCCAGTGATCCAGTGATCCAGTGATCCAGTGATCCAGTGATCCAGTGATCCAGTGATCCAGTGATCCAGTGAAGCCCTCAAAAGACTTGAATCACTTCGGTAAAGGTACGCATAAATGACGGTCATTTTTTTATAATGCATCCCCTCACCCCTCACCCTTTCCCCTTGCGATGTGATTTGAATATCTTTAGTTATTACCTTTTCTGTACTGAAACATTGATGGTGTTGTAGCAGTGAGGCCGTGGAAGAGGAAGAAGTATAACCTGGTGCTAATCTGTGTTCTGGCGGTCTCTTCTGTAAGTCTCACCTTCTCCACAGACACCACCCGGGATGGAACAAAGCCCAGACAAACCGGTTACAGGGATGAAATTAAGCCCTTCAGTAGGCGAAAAAGAAAATTCGGATCAATATCAGCATTCAAGCGAAGGTCCTATGAAACCAACACTCAATGCAGGATTACTGAGTTTGAGTTAGCTTATAATGAACGACTGGAAAAGTGGGGTCATATCCATACAGTTTGCTATATCCTCCTGGGTAAAAGTAAACTTTAATAGCACATAAAATTACCACTATTAAAATAAATTATGGGGGTACGGTTTTCTTCTTCAGAATGGTTAAGAGAGTGTCTCTGTAAGAGTGGTCCGGTCGATTTTGCTTGAGACACGGATTTCGCTCATTTCTTGTGTGTTGTAAGACATTCATGTACCTATACTAAAACCACAATCCGTTTGATCGGATCTCTTTATTTTTTAGAGTTTTACGGAAATTAAATTTCACTCGAACGAAGGCTTGTCGTGACACTTTTCAAGACTTTAATTTAAGACAACTTTGGAGGACAATTTAAAAAAACTGCGGAACTCTGCTTCATCTTAGAGGCAATATCACGCTGGTATTTTGATTTCTTATCGACAAGAATGGTAATCAAGAAGCGATCGCCATGTTTACCTCATAAACGTGACCGCTGATCAGCCGCTGAGTGAAAACAGTATAGCGCGGGGTGAGGTGGGTGGCGGGCTTATCGCCATAAGATATTCGAATACATGCTTAAAAAGCTTCAGGACTCCCAGTCTAAAAGGCATGCTTCGTGGTACAGACAACTGTTATTTTATTCTCATAACTTTCTCCTTTACATTAGAACTGGTATTAATTAATAGAGTTATCAATATATTTTTAACCGGGTTACTCATATGACCTTTTTGCTTGTCATCAGTGGTATGAAATAAAGTGTCTTTTCCACTCGAACCTTTTGTCTATGCCCCATTGCACGGAATGAACACTATTCTTAAGTCGTTTTTGCAGTTCCCAAGAATGTATGGAGAGAGTAATTCGCGTATCTTATAATCTGAACGATAGTTTTCAATGAAACAAATTCAATTCTTAATTCAATTTACCTTAGTTGTCTCGTGTTTAAACGTGGCGTTTCCGAGGACCGTAGATTCTTCTCTGATTCTTCTTGTCTCGGCCAAGACTCACTATCATCAACTTTTTTCTTGTGCTTCTTACGGCATGGAACACAGAGAGCTGAGGTAAGCGATTGCAAATTTCTCAGTTTAGGGAAGCCCAGTAGCATCCATCAGGAATTGAAAACCGACAATCACTGTTTACTTTTATTCTTAATCAAATAAGGGGTGTTTTAGCATGCAAATTTAATCATACTGGTTAATGAGAATCATACAAACTGAGGAAAACTGACCGCAAATAATTGTGAACCGTACGCATGCATAAGTGTAATGCGTTGTCAGGCGATTTAATCTTCTACAAAAACATTATTGGTTATCAAACAAGCAACATTGTACATATTTCCATCTGCAATTAAGAGCACTTACACATAGATCTATGTTTTTCAACGTGATGTGTACTTTAGTAATCTAATAAGGAGTTTCTTCTCTTTTCGAGCAGTATGTCACGAGACAAAAACAGATACTGAGGACTACCTGATTCAACTGGAATAATAACTCCAAACAGCTTTTGAATGTACTGAGACATATGCGAGGTAATTACATCTCTGCCTTGGATACGCTTCCTGACACCATTATGATCAGGATACTGACATGTTACCTTTGCACTTCTCCAAAACTTCCCCAAAGCGTGGCGATGCCTGTAGGAAATCCACATTTTTTTGTTTATCCTCCTAAGCGAGGTGAAATAGGCCATTCCTTGCAAAGATGAACTCATTCTCACTTAAGACCTCTTTAGACAGGTGGCAGCTTATCAAATGATGTTTTACTTCATCATTGCATTCAGACAGTCGTACCAAACCACTTAAGCACGCGATGAACCAAAGTTTTTTCCATCTTTGCTATTCAAAAAGCAGTCCTGAGACATAATGAACGTCTCGCTAACGAACGACTTCTTCCTGTACTTGTAATTGTTTCCAACGCGATACAAGTTTGGGAGATCTAAAGAAACTCACTATAACTTTGTATACTCGATACCATTTCAATTTCCGCGCCAAAGAAGAAGCTTACTGAGTGAATTCATGAGTGGTCAGTGGTTACGCTCGTGAGGTAGAGAATGGGTTTGTGACTTTTTCATTCAATTGAAAAGACTCGCGTCACTCTAATGAAATGGTTGAACAGAATACAGACTCCAAGCAGTCTCTTTTTTTCCTTAAAGATAGTGAGGTCACGTGTACCCTGTGAGCATGGAGAAGCCGCGAGACGCGAGACTCGTGTCTCGCGTCTTTGCCGCTCCACGCTCTCAGAGTTAGGCAAAGACAAGACACGTTACTTCTAAAGTGATACAAGAGGTTCAATGGTCATCTCGATTATCTAAACACATTTATTTATATGATAAAGATTTGTTTATAAATCTATGAATTGACGCCAGTCCTATTTGGAACGAAACTCACTTGAAAGAAAAAAGAATACTAAGCAAAGCAAAAGTTGTCTGCAACACGAAGCATGCCTTTGCTTTAAGACTGAGAGTCCTAATGCTTATTATGATACTTAAATGCATATGTTTGGATGTTCACGGAGTTATAAAGTTTTCGTAAAGGTCGGGCCGCAATTTTTTTTTCTGTAGTTACCTTTTCTATGGCACCTACTTCCTAGCTATGTTAGTTGGATCAGTTAAGAACGCCTCACTTTTTCAAAAATTTACCTTGAATTTGATCGGTTTTCGCGTGTGTGACTTAAGCGAACCGATAAGGTGTCATTCAAGTCTTCCTGTTTGCTTGATTGAAACGTGATGTTCACGAAAGTCGCCTCGATGGATAAGATAGAGTTAATATATATGGCTGTGGTATTTGTTTTTTGCAGAGTTCCGTATTTTTTTGTAAATTGTCCTCCAAAGTTGTCTTAAATTAAAGTCTTGAAAAGTGTCTCGACAAGTCTTCGCTGGAGTGAAATTTGATTTCCGTAAAACTCTGAAAAATAAAGAGATCCGATCAAACGGATTGTGGTTTTAGTATAGGTATATGAATGTCTTACAACACACAAGAAATGAGCGAAATCCGTATCTCAAGCAAAATCGACCGGACCGCTCTTACAGAGACACTCTCTTAATACACATGTTTCGAATTTTTGTGTGTATAGAGAATAATTATGAAAAGTTTTGAATTTATCTGTATAGTGAGAACTTTATTCTTTTTAATCACAAATTCTTCTCACAGGAATCTTTAAATACATTGGTGCTAAGGATGATTCAACTCCTAACAGGTGTTTGGTGAGTTTAAAGCTGCTTACACCTCTATACATGTAAATATAGAATGCTTGATAATGGTATTGATTTATATATAGATAAAACAATGCACTAATCCAACAAACATACCAGCTTACAGTCTGAGACCAAAAAATAACTTAAGGGTTCTGTAATTTTTAGAGAAATCAAATAGCAGAACACAGTGGGAGGTAGGAGTGGCTGAGTGGTTAGGGCGCTGGTCTTGAAATCTGGTGATTCTGGGGTTTACGCTCTTTGTCTTGTTACACACTAGATTTGTTTTCAGTTTTCTTGTGGTTCCTTGGCTGCACTTTGTATTGTTAACTACTCGGTTCTGCAAAAGTTTTTTATTCACACACACACACTATCAAAGTAATAATCCTATTCCAAACTAAACTCACGAGTTTATATATTTGGTATCATTTCTGCATATATTATGGTTGGGACAATATACACTCATTAACAAGTATTTATATTGAAACAAAACATGACAAGACGTGAATGGCGGAATGAATAGGATTAATGATAGCTCAAATGAATTGCTAATTATGCAACATGTATAATTTATAGCCCACAGGTCTACCTTCCAGGTGGGGTTCTTAATTACTATAAAAGCGGTTATTCAAACAGCTGTTGTCTGAGCAAACTGCATCCTAAACAATCCTCAATTTTGTTGGACCTTTTATATGAATATTTATTTTTGTGAACAGTGACAGAAAGCAATCAGTGGAAGGAGATTTATTTAATTGAATCAATCCTCTTTAGGAGGAAGCTTGAGGCTCACTTTTTGGGTAAAAGTGTGGTTTGGTTTCGATCTGGTTTAAATAACGAGCACTACATGTATGTTAGTGTCTATTATTATTGTTATTATTATCATTGTTATTTACTTTATTTATTTATTTATTTATTATTATCTTGACAACAAAATATTTTCATTGAGTTTCTTGAATTAATGTAACCTTGGTTTTTTGGGCTGTTTTATGCAGATTGGCACTTACATGGGATTTGCCATCACAGCTTGTGTTCTAACTGTGTTCATGTTCATCACCTACTGTATTGCTCTGGTTGACTATTCTCATATCCATAACTGCAAGAGTTACGATGACAGTTACTTCAAAGCCTATTGTTACTCTGCGAGTAAGAGGCATATGGCTGCTGTTGGAACTGGGTTAGGCTCCTGCCTTCGTAATTGCACTGTTGTTCAGTTCATTTTGGCTCTTACTGCATCAATCTACTGCTGTGGTGCTGTTTGTTGCAACACCCCAAGAGGAGTGGTTTGTACTGTCAGCAGACACTTTTTATTCATGAATTTGCTTGGTAGAATCTTTTGCTAGATATACATGTACCACAATTTGACTATGACCCCTTTAACTTCCATGAGTGACCAAGACAGAATTTCTCCTTACACTATTAACATAGTATCAAGCAGACAAGAGATGAGAATAAGGAAAAGAGTATTAATTAGGAAAATGTTTTTTGATCCAATACCAAAGTTCCAAAAGTAACATCATGAGAACTGTATGGAAAACAGCAAGGAGAATTTCTATTCAGATCTGGGATTGAGAGGGTTAAGAAGGCACAGAATGTTAGATGATCATTCGACCAGTGGTTGTGTCAGAGGCATAAATGCATGAAGCAACTAGTACCCTTTTATACTCCTTGGTACAGGTAAGAGATCATGTCGGAGGAGTGTCATGTCCAAGAACACAACTCAGTGACCTAGCTTATATTAACCACAGCTTAAAAGAGCATGAAGATCTCTATCATCGGAGTTCCAGCTTATGTATCTCTCACAATTTATTTTTTACTCACTACACTTAGCAATAACTATAGAGGAATGGTTTTTGCTGTCAGCAGACACTTTGTATTCATGAATTTGCTTGGTAGAATCTTTTGCTAGATATGCATGTACCACAATTTGACCATGAACCCTTTAACTCCCATGAGTGACCAAGAAAGAATTTCTCTTTACAATATAAATGAAGTATCAAGAAGGCAAGTGATGAGAATAAAGAAAAAACCCTTGCGAACTGAATTCCCAGTTTTATGGGAATTCCTAGGAATTCCTAGGAATTCCTAGGATTTCTCAAAAATTCCCAGTTATGCAAATGACCCTTGCAAACTGAATTCCCAGTTTTCTGGGATTTCTCAAAAATTCCCAACTATGCAAATTAACTCTGATTTAAAAAGCTTGGAAGTACTGGGAATTTCTGGGAAAGGAAGACTCCAGTTTTGTGAGGACTTGGAATCCCAAGGAATTCCTAAGAATTCTCAGCTTTACAAACTACCTATAATTTAAGAAGTGTGGAACTCTTGGGAATTTCTGGGAATTGAATTTGAGGCAATACCCTGAGGTCCACATAAATTCTAAGAAATTCTCAATACCTTGAATGTGAAGGTTTTAAGAAAAGGAGTAATTTCAGAGGCTTAAAACTTTGGCTCAATAAAAGGTATGCTATACAAAACTTACCAAGAGATATACATACATGTATATATTTATAACTTAAAGATCATGAAATTTATTATTCAAACTAAGTTTTAGTAAATCTTTACATTAATATGGATTTTCTCATGAACCAGCTGTCAGTTATGTTAAATGGAAATTGCCAATTAATCCAATGTACTCGTATCACAGATTTGCTTTCTAACCTCAAAGGACTCTTGGATTCCATGATCAAAAAATATTTTTATTGTGATGCAAATTAATGTCTCATGTTCACTGATGTGCCAAAATCATCAAACATTCATTGGCTGTTCCTTGGTACACAACTTCCACAATAATTAACAATAACTACATTGTTATCTACACTTAAAGAACTTTGTTAGTTATGAACATAAGTTACTTCCCTAACCTACATTACTGGTTGCCTTTGTTAGAAAACCTTGGAACAGTCAAGCTCAGTTGCCTCAAACACTGTCAGAGACTTTTTGTTGACAACATTTTTAGTAGAAATTTCATGCCTTAGACAAACAAATTCAACACCTAATTAATCTTTCTTTTTTCATGATTGTTGTTGCTGTTTTTTTTTTCATTTTTTTGCTCTGTTTTCGTGACTAATTGCTGTAATTTGTTTTGCTGTTTTTATTCTTACAAAACATTTTTGTAAGAGTTCCAATACTTGTGGATCATCCACACGCTTTGCAAACATTTGGCATGCAGACAAGACAGAGGTAGTCAATGTGCCCTTTGAGAAAAAACACCTTTTAAATGACATCTTCAATTTACTTTATTTGAAACTCTGATCTGAAAATATTTGTCAACAAGACTTGTTAGTAGTGAGAAGTACCAACCAAGTTTCCTTTCATAACTTAATTTCCTTAATGTCCCAATCACTGGATCTCCCAAAAAATATTACATCTTTTTTATTTTTGGTGCAAAATACAAGTCCTTCTTTATATAAAAATGAAAATTGCAAGTCACACTTCAATAATAACAGCTCTAAAGTTTGCTTGTTGTTCTTCTCTGTCTGTCAGCTATCAACAAAATTGTTTTATACTTTGGTATTGGATACAAAATCTTATAAAAGAATAGATGTAGCGGGTTGAATTAAGCTTACATAACGCTCGGCGCAACTGAAACTAGAATAATTCTGAGAATCGAATCGGTCACTTGCATGCCGCAGTTTCTTAAGCTTATGCTTTACAATGAAATAAACCTATCAGTAAGGTTTCAAGATTCCTCTAGTCACGTTTGGGAACATTCAAGATTCATAATAGGAACTGTTATTAAACAAACCTTATTACATAAAGAAGCCCTCCTTGGTAAAAACAAAATAATGTATTCAGCCCTTTCTTAGTAAAATCTATAAGAGAGATGTAGTAACTCCAATATAAAAGTCACTCAATATAACAGAGATTTCTCAATTTGAGAATCCAGTGAATGCCCTTTTCCTCATAGCCATCTTAAAGGCCTGGTCTGAGCTTTAAATATATATATTTAAATATATATATTTTTTTCAAATTCAGATGTCATGGAACCCAGATACAAAATGGTCAAGCTTCTTGTAGACAACCTCATTCAAGGCCAACTCATTGTGAGCCCAGGAAAAAAATATAAACAGCAGCTAAGTTTTCAGTTTAGGATAACTTCATTCTAATTTATTGTTACAGTTACAACAAGATTTTAATCAAAAAATCAATTTTATTTGTCTGTAATTAACCCCTTCACTCCTAAGAGTGCTTGGTTTTCAAATATAATTTAAGATATTGTATTTTATGGAAAAGAATCAACAGATTTTATTCACAATTTGTGTCAAACCAAATTTAATGATTGATTAGGACTATTTTATATGAATAGCTGTAATTAAGGATTAATCCTTATGAAGTTTTCAAGAAAAGAAAAATCAAATTCCATCCTAATATTACCACACATTGATGTTAATAATGAATCAAAAATATTTTACATGTAAGCCTTAATTAAGCTTCTAAATAAATTTCATTGAATACTTGAATTTTAGCTGGGTTTTTTCATTTAAAGTATTTATTTTATATCATTAGCCTCAAATTTTTGCTTAAAATTCCCAGTAATTCTTAAATATTCCTAAAAATTCCCAAAAATTCCCAGAAATTCCTAGGAATTTTTTAGATTTACAGCTTTTCAGGGAAAGTCATTGGTTCTCTGAGTTGTAATTCCTAGGAATTCCAAGTCCTGTTGGCTATAAACTTGGAATTTCTGGGAATTTCTGGGAATTTCTGGGAATTTCTGGGAATTTCTAGGAATTTCTAGGTTTTCAGAACCAGAGCTGTTATGGTTGGGAATTCCTAGGAATTCCCAGGAATTCCTAGTCCGAATTTACTGTGAAAATTCACACCTTTATTCCTAGGAATTCCTAGGAAAATCCTAGGAATTCCTAGGAATTCCAAAAGCCATTTCATAAGGGAAGTGTCAATTAGGGGATTATTTTTGATCCAATACCAAATTTCCAAGGAGAATAAGGAGAATTCCTAATAAGGTCTGTGAGTGAGAGGGTTAAGAAGGCACAGAATGTTAGATGATCATTCAATTAGTGCTAGTGTCAGAGGCATAATTGCATGGAGCAACTAGTACAGATGTGTACTCCTTGGTACAGGAGAGAAACCATGATAGAGGAGTGTCATGTCCAAGAACATAACACAGTTCCCTAGCTTGTATTAACCACAGCTCAAAAGTACATGAAGATCTTAAACATTGGAGTTCCAGCTTATCTCTTACAATTTGTTTTTTACTCACTGCAGTTAGTTATTAGTACATAACTAGTAATTAGACAGCAACCATGTTAAAAAAAACCTCTATTTTGGCAATCAGGTACAGCTTAACTTGAAAATAAGCAGGATGGTTTCTTTTCAGTTATTACTAAATAGTCAGCAGGGTCCACACTTCAGGACTAACAGCAAAATATTTTTGCATACTGCCCGACTAAACTCAGTCACTGAATGTTTTAAATTCAATGATGGTTGTATTGATTGAGAGATTGATATTATGAAGAGAAGTTTTAGGACTGAAAGAGTTGATTTTTACTTCTGGTTGTTAGACGGTAACCAATCAGCAAGTGACATACATTCAGCCTGGACGGCCTGCATTTACAAGACCCCAGGGAGGCATGGTTATCATTCAGCCAACCGGTGGAGTTACAACTACAACACCAGCTTACCCAGCAGTAGCCCAGCCTCAAGTTTACGTTCAACAGCAAGTTCATGTGAGTTCTATTTTGAAAAAAAGATTGTGGTCTCAAATAAGGATGAATGCACATGTATTGAAGTGTTATTGTTTGTCTTGTGGCATAGTCACTTTCAAGTTTGCAGTGTCAAAACTCGTTAAGCTAAAATTGTCTAAAATGTATATAAAATGAGAAAGATGGTAAGTTTTGGGCTGGGTAAAAAAAAGAAAGATGTTTTTTTTTTGTCTTGTCATGAGTGTGGGACAAAGGAAAAATTCTGTTTGTTTTTTTTATTTTAAACTTGATTTTGTTTTGTAATTGTGTATTTTTGTTTGTTTGTTTGTTTGTTAATTTTCATTTGTTCTTGTTTACTTTTGTCTGCTTCTGTTCATATCTGTTTCTTTCTTTCTTTCTTTGTTCTTCTTACAATAAAAAAACTCAAACAAGTTTATAGTCTATCAAAAACAAGTTAATGCTACTCCTCCCAGGATGGGATGCCAGTCCATTACATGGTAGTGGTTATTTAAGCCTAAACCAAATAGATATGTCCTGTTCATAAAGAATACTTCATGGAAAGTCTGTCTGTATAGTTTTTATGCACCAGCTGGTAGTAACGGAAATTGAACTACATTTTTTCATACATATGGAAAGTGCACAATTTAATTACCTAAATTCAGGGCTTAAGTCAGTACAGTCAAATATTTTTGTTAATCCAGCACTTTGCAAAATTTGCCACACAACGGCTTCTTTGTCTTTCATTTTCCAGCGATTTGATTGGTTACTTTACACAACCTTTAAAATCTACTGGGTGGTTTTGTTTTAATGTTTCCTTCTCGTTGCTTGCCGGAACATACAATTTTGAGCAAACTATGTGCACTTCGTGAATGAATTGCACTGCTGAGGGCCAATCAGATTGCAGTGAGCTATTGATTTTAAAGTGGATGTAAAATTTAAAAGGTTTTAATTACCTAAGTCGAGCACATAACTTTGAGGCCTGTTCATGTTGTGCCATTTATTAATCAAATGCCTGACATTGACACTGATTTCTTATTTTTTAACTTCATTACACTCACAGCCTGGGGTAACCATCCAACAGCCTGGCTACTGGGCTGTTCCCCCTGGGTCCAACCCAGCTGGTACGGTGACTGTGACACACGCAAGTGCTCTTAGTCCACAGATACAGACTCAAATACAATCTCAGGTATGCAAAATAATGATTGTAGTTGGTGAGTAGGCTGCATGGACTGATCTGAAAAGCGTCTTGGAGTATGTATAGAATTTACTACAGTGGAAAGCTTGATCGTGTGGTCCTGAGAAGTATTGCTATGTGTGATATTTTATCGTCAACTAAAATTTTTATTTATCACCACATCTGGTTTCATATTTGGGAAAGTTGTCTCCTAAAGCGCTCAGAACATGAGCTTCGGCCAAGATCTTTCCTTTCTGAATCCACTAACGTGTTCAAGTGCCTCACGACGGCCTCTTTTCTAAAAACGTCACGTGTAATTTAAGTTTCTTTTTTTTCTGTCCACATACGCTAGTTAGTGATGAGAGGCCGCCACCTTATGCTGCATATATGCAGACGAGCAATCCTCCGCCTTGAGGTGTTTCGCTTGATATTTCCCTGTGTGGACTGGTTGATATTTGAGTCTATGCGGTGATGGGGCATAATTTATTTTGAAAGTTTCTGTAAATAGCCGACCAAGCATTTAGTGTAGTCTTGTAAAGGACCATTTCATCTGTACTCGACAAATGGGTTGTCTGGAATTGTCGCTTTTGTATATAAAAATAATTTTCATCTTGGTTACCAAGTTGAAAAAGAATTATTATTTTAAGTTTTTTCTTAATAATCGGGCTGTGGTCTCCTGATGGTAAATTGTCTTTCTTCGTAACCGAGATATATTTATCGAGAAATGGGACCTTTGTAAGTTCTTTAGCTTATCTTCCAAGCTCACTTCTTCGTGTGAAAACAGTAAGATTTGAGCAATGAAAATTGTGGCAAAGTGCACGGAATGTTGGTGATCAAGCCAGTCTGGTCGACCAAGCTCAGTTGTTAAGACCCAGTCCTGCAAGTGCCCCCCTTCCTCATGGGGTTAGTAGACACTTAATACTGAAACGTTGTAACCCAATGTTTTTTTAGTTTGACCGCAACTCCTAATGGTTACTACATTTCAATCAGCTCTGCTAGCAGTCGTTCATTGTTACGATTGTCCAACGCTGCCTGACCAACATAAGTGTCATTTTTTTTTAACACTGTGAATTGTTGTTTCCTAGCGTCAATATCCATGTAACCCGTCCCATTCATTTCATTTGTGAGAAGAGTGCAAAAGCGGGGCGAGTGACAGAAAAAAAAGAGGGGGGGGGGGGGGGGAGGGAAGGAGAGAATGAGAATCCTGCCAATTTTCTCTCGACCAAAAATTTATTTGTCTCCACTAACAGGAGAGCCTGGCAGAGGCCAGTATGTGTCAAGGACCCGAGAGGAATCTTTTATCGCCCTAAATATGCCCTTTGTTTTCGTTCGTAGTAAGAATCCTTAGCATATGGTCCGTGATTATTTTGAAGTTGTGTAAGAGTGTAGTAATTTCTTTTTTAGTAGTAGCACAAAGCTTGGTATTGAATATTAGGCGAGAAGAAATGATTAAATCTTCTTAGATGAAACAGGAAGAGGAGAGGATTTCCTTTCTGACCAGTCACAATTTATGCTGAAATGTTAAAGGCCTCGCAGATTTATTTATTCAAGAAGGGGGGGGGGTGGTATTTTACGGTCAAGTTTTTGACTTTGAATTCAGTGATGTTACATGAAAACAAGGATACATCTTGATGTACTTTATATTCAAGTGGTAGTTTATTCTATTTATATCAATTTATTTTCTTTGCATGCTGGGGATTGTATGAAGACTAACTCCAGTTTGATAGTATCTTCTAAAATAGTACATCCTTTTGCTTATTTATTGAAGATAGGTCCTACATAGTTCGTACAATTTTTCTTAACGAATTATTTGCGAAATTGAAGATTGGTGAGAGCCTGGTGCTTCTCTCTTGAAATCAAATCGCTTTTTACTTGCGATACTTTAGCGTTCTTGTGTATATTATGAGGGATATACTTCTCACTTGTTCGCTCCCCCAACAGGGCGCTGTGTGAACAAGATCGAGAGTTCGCCGTAAAAAGTTTGATAGTAGAATTTATTTTTTATCGAATTTCCCTCCAATATTTATTGTTATAACTTATTTTGCAGAGTGACAGAGTGATCATTATTTATAGCATGCCCCATCAGTCTAATAAAGATTTCAATGCACGCAACACTGAATGCTGTGATATTTATTTCTGACGTAGAATTAAGATGAAATGAAGATTGTCGATTACCTAATACAACGGTACAGTTTTTGTTTCTATGCCGACCTGCATCTTCGCTGCTTTTATTGCCAGTGTCAAGCAACTATTAAATTACGTCCTATTGGTTTAAATTAGAGTTTGGAAGGTAATACGGAATTATATCGGTTTTGTTATACTGCTTTCTGTGATTGGTCAACAAACCTACGCCATCCAATCAGAAGAAAAAGCCCGAAATCAATCGCGAAATGGTTACCCGCGTTTTCCCGCCCTTTGAAGCTTCTTCATGTCTTTACTTTGGGTTCTGATTGGTTCCTTTCGGATGTTGTTCTCTGTTCCGATTGGCCCATGTGATTTCTTTAGTTCTGGATTTTAAAAGTTTTTCCGAGCCTCGAACACTGCTTAAGGATATACTGACGAAGAAGCTGAGTGAAAAAACTTTCACGTGGATAAGTAGTACTCAAGTTTTTACTTTCTGAAAAGAGTAAAGATATTCCGCCTCTTTCGTTTCACAAGAACTGAAAAGTACTGTGAATGAACACCTACAAGTGCCGCTACTGTCAGGATTTTATGATAAAGGCACATGTCTAGATTTTTGTTTATTGCCCTAACCTCGTATCGTGAATTTGTCTCTCACAGCTACATTATATGATTTTTTTCGTGCCTGAACTTAGGCAGAGGCTATTTAAAATGGATTAAACTTTAAGTGAAGAAAAAATTATTTGTTAGAATCTCTAATTGCTAATTAATTTTTACTCTCTCATGTTGTATAATCAAGTTATATGTCAACTGATATAGGCACGTTGAAAAATTAGGGTAAAACAAATTAATTCACAAACGTACAAAAGATAAATGTAACACCAAATGATTTTCATTTGGCCGCTTTGTACACCTAACTTTCTCTGGCTCTAATTTTTATAGTCGTTTACGGTAGGGATTTTTTCCGGGAGGCACATTCACATATTTTGGTATGTTTCCTTAGCCTCGCATCGTAAACTGCTAGATTCCATGCTTGATCATTTTTTTTTTTTCTTTTCCTTTTTTTTTATTTTATTAATTTAAAATTTTTTTTTGCTTCTTAGGTTATTTAGAAGCTACTTCAAATTGATTGAAAACTGTACAAAGAAAATTATTTTTTTGAATCCCTATTTGCTATATTACGTGGTGAAAAATTCCCAGTGAATCGATTGTTATATCAATCATATGTGCAGGCGAAATAGTTAGGGTACAAAACTTTCACATATGTACAAAACAAGATTGAATAGCCGCACAATTTTCACACAGCTGATCATCTGCCACTTTCTCAATCAACGTTTCTTCAAAAAAAATAATAATAATAATTTCAAAAATCAAATTAACATTAACTGATCCAAAAAATTAATAAAATGAGTTTTTGGTAACACGGCGATGTAAATAATAGGGCCATATGGTTATGAATTGAAACTTCACAATGATCTTGCCTTGTAAACAATCCTTGTTTGCGCTAATTATATGTAACACGAAACGTGTGCTGAAAAGTCTAAAATAATGGTGAACGGCGTAAGTTAATCTAACTTTTCCTCGAGGAACTTTAAGCCATGTTCAAGGTACTTTAAGCCTTTTCCTGCCCCTTTAATGGCATCTTTTAAAACCGATTGACTTCCAGCCGGTTGAATTTTCCCCGATTGACTTTCCGCCGATTGACTTTCCGGCAGTTGACTTTCCGCTGACTGACTTTCCGAATCTCTTTGGGGAAGGCTTCTTTTTGGTTTAAGATACTCCTCAATTTCTGTTTCCTCGTTCATTTGAGCCAAGTCAGCCGCATCCTTTCCATCCACTTTCAAGTTAACGTCGGCGTTGTTTTCAACAAGTTTTTTAACAACTTGAATGTTGCCATACATCGCTGCCAAATGCAGTGGTGTGAAACCGTCTGCATCGTTGGCGTTTATATCTGCTTTGTGTTTCACAAGCAAATCTACAATCTCGAGACTAGCACTTTTGCTGGCAACATGAAGAACTGTCTGACTTTGCGTGTCAGGAAAGGTAGCACCCATTTCATTGATATTCTTCCGCACGTTCTCTGGAGGATCCTTTCCCCATCCACTCGTGAGGACGAGTCCAAAGTCTGCAACGTCAAGACTACCACCGTTAGTGCGCCTCAAGAACAAGGGCAATAGAGCTTTCTCTACTTGGACATAATGCCAGGCTAGTTTTCCTCTGTCCTTCCCACGAACAAGGTAAATTCTCTCACTTACTTTCTCCTTGTATTTCATGTTCACATCCGCTTTGCTTTCAAGTAAACATTTGACTTTGTATTTGTGCTCATTTTTGACGGCTAAGTAAAGCGCGGTTTGGCCTTCTTTGTTGCGCAAATTGATGTCGCATCCTGAATCAATTAGTAAACAGAAGACACTCAAGAATCCGTGATCTAAACACTCACTCAATCCCATCGTATTTGAGATATTTAGAAGACCCACATCGGCTCCATGCTTTAAAAGGATGTCAACGGCCATGTAATTGTTGCTTTGCACTGCCGAATGCAAAGGTGAAACCATGTCATCTGTCCTTTGAGCATTTACATTAGCGCCAAGATCAACGAGGGTCTTGATAAACTCACCAGAGGCTGATGGACTTGCCCACAACAAAGGCGTACGGTTGCTTTTTCCTGGTGTGTCTATATCAACACCCTCGTTTAGAACAAGCTCGACAGCCTTCTCCGCGTCATTGTTGTCGTTACACAAGTGCAGCTCAGCTAATGTAGCGTTCCTCTCAACTAACACTTTGTACATTTCTTCTATTTCAATAATTCCTTTTCCTTTATCTTGGAGAGCCAAGAGAATCTCTGAGGCAGTTTTTCCAGGAAATACCTTTGCTTGGCTTCCTGTCATTTGTAAATTCATGTCTTGGAAAAAGTTCCCAAGGTAGAGAATGGCTCTCCAAAGCGTGTCAAAGTCGCCTTGAAATACAGCCGCCTGCAGTCGATTGAAGCCGGATCGTACATCTACATGGAGAAAAGCTTTCCTTGAAAGGAGCAGCAGGCTAGGCTGTAATGAAAAATAGGTTATAGTGAATAATTTATCGGAAAAAAAAACTCATAACAGAAGAATAGTTTTTAGGACATAATCAAACGATTCAGATCACGTGTGTAACAACGATACAAGTATGGCATGTCATGACGAGTTCAACATAAAATTCAACACAATTAGTACATCATTAAGAATTATTATTCAAAAACTCTGAAAGTGGCAACGTTGTATCACAATTTTAGGTAATCAAGACAAAAATTCTCTTCCGTTTAAGATTCTGTGAATCATATTTTAGACCTTTTCGCGGTGGAACATTCCAAGATTGAACGGAACGCATGTTAACAACAAAATGTATGCACTGCTGTTCGGTATCATGTTATGGAAGAAGACGCTAAGACGAAAACGAAGCCGTGCACCAAACATAAAACTAATGCAAACTGGTAGTAACCAGCCGTAATGAAAAGAAGCGTTTGCTAAATCTTATTGAATTATCTTGATGCTCCTCTGCGTATATAAAGATGTTTAAGAAGCAGTTTCAAAACGTGAAAGAAGAAAACAGTTTTGACCATACCGGTTGATTGTAACCAGGACTCGCGTTATTCCTCAGAAGCAGGTCAATAATGGCTCGGTGATTGTTGCGTTCAGCTTTTTGTAGCGCTGTTTTTTGAAACTGAAAGGTAAAAAATTATTAATTGGCAAATGTCAAAATATTAGAGTAACTGCAACTCCCTCAATAAGATAAGTATTCCTGGACACGAGAAACAATCGACAAAAGGAATGGTTTCAATAGCTTATGAAAATCTTTGGTTGTCTGGAATTTTTTATCAATACTGTATATCCGACGTATTGCCAAAACAGAAACACGAGTGGTCACCAACTTACCCTATCTACAGCATTGACATTTGCACGGTGCTGTAACAAGAGTTCAACAACAGCTCGTTGCCCATACCATGCGGCAAGGTGAAGAGGCGTTAAATTAAACTGCAAAATCAAAGGAAATCGTTAGACAAAGGTCAAACACATATTAATTCATAATAAGAACAGACACATCTAAACGCAAAATCAAGCTAGCAACCTCATCCGTCTGGTCCACATCTTCACCACTTTCAAGAAGTACTTTGACAACGTCACATCGACCGCTGATTGCAGCTTTGTGTAGAGTTCTTCTTGATAACTGTAAAAACAGGACTGCTTTTAGCACATTGCTTGTAAGACACGTATAATGATAATATTAATAACAATGATGATAACAATAGTAATAATAATAATAATAATAATAATAGTAATAATAAGATTCCTCGTGGATGCACCGTTACACTGCAAAGAATACCCTCTCAAACTAATTTTGATTATTAATAGGGCTGACCTAAACGTAGCATAACTACAGAAGAGAAAAGTCTGTGTAAAAATTCAAGAACTTGAAGGATAACAAGAGCAGTGCGTGCTGAGAACATAATAAATCGGAAGAGTGGGAGATACAAAAATAATAACAATAACGATATTAATAGGATTAAATAATTTTGCAATGGATATTCCACGAGTTGGCTCTTCTTGTCCACTGTTTTCAGGTTGGATTAGGATTCAAATGTTGGTTTTTGTGGAGGGGGACACGGAGGACACGGAGAAAAGCCCTCGGAGCAAGGAAGAGAACCAACGAAAAACTCAACCTAAACGTGACACCAGGTCCGTGAATCGAACTCAGGCCAAAGTGGTGTGAGGCGAGTGCTCTCGACACTGCGCCATTCCCTCTGCCAAATATCAAGTACTACTCACGTAAGCATACTACAGAGAGAAAGAGGATTTGATCGGAGTGAAATTTTGAGACCAATTTTGGTGAAAATTGAAAAACTATTGTTTTGAAGAAATTTTCTCCCCAAACATTATGTTGAAGTAGGAAGCGAAAAAATTGCGCGAGGGTAAGGAAAACAAAATAAAAACAAAAACAAACTCAAATGGAACAAATGCGACAAGCACTATTTTGTCCCTCTCCCGAAAGTGACTTAGCCTAGACAATCGCTTCCTACTTCCCTTCGCTCCACTTTAAAACAAGTAAAAAAACAAGAGAAAAACAAGTACGCTGTACGTCTAAAACCGCCGATTATCCCACTTTCCTGGTCAAGAAAAAACTAAAGGGCAGAGAGGGAGGCTCCTGCTCTAGGATATGTCAAATCCAAACAGACGAAATAAACTTTTCTGAAATATTCGCATAAAGGATAACAGACATAACACCGAACTGATCTTCTGATTTAACCACAATGTGTCTTCATTGTTAAAGCACGCACTACATCATAAAACGGTCACACAATTTAGTACTTGACTTACTTTGGCAATTTTAGCTCGAAGCTTACACATCGATTCTGGGTTTTTGACCTAAGTGGAGAAAGGCAATTTTGAAGTCAACGCATTCCAAATATATACATATTTTTCTAAAATTTACACGTTACAGGTATAGCATACTACTCCAAGTCCTGCTTTCCGTATTGCATTATTCGATGAAAAATTGCATAGCAATAAACTTTTCTTCAGTAATGGTTTGAGCCCAAGAGTGATATTTGATTGTGTTGTTTTTCCGCGGAGAAGAACTGTTGATGGTCGTAGGGACTGTCGTTTCGAAAACCTTCAAGCCTAGAACTCTCCGTCTGACTCTAATTATCCTCATGTTTTGTTTCTCTATGGTGATTTAAAACTATGGTTAATCATAATTCTTATTCTCGTATTAGTGTACATCGTAGCTGACACAATGCTATTTTTTTTTTTTTTTTTTATCAACACGAGCCCCAGGCCTGGCAAACCCAACCACATGACTTCATATACACTCATATCAACCCTGGTAAATAAATGATTTTTTCGTCTGATATCTGAGCTTTTTGACTCGGATTTTGTTACCTTTTCCCTCATCTGGCGGGTTTCTTTGGGAGTGGCGTTTGTAGATAAGACGCTTGATTTTGTAGAGTGCACTCTCTTGCTATCTTCTTGATTTAGAGCACTGACGCTGAGACCTGCATAATTTAACAAATGCAACCGGGTTAGTAGAAAAGACGTGTGGTTCTTAAAATAACCGAAGTACGGTCCGTGACTTTCTCTTCTTGTATTGTTTTGCTCGCAGTTAAAAATGCGACATAAAAATTATGTTAGAAACCTCTTATATTATAGAACAATTAGGACTCTTAATTATGTACGTGTCGACAGTACTGGCGTGTACAATGAGCAAAACTGCACACTTTTGCAACACAAAAATAACAACTTATCTATCTGTATCTAACTACGTGGTCCCCGATTCGCTCGCGAGTGTTAATGGAAAATTTACGCGCTTTTGTTGGTGAAATTTTAGCGGCTAGAAGAGTCCTCTCTTGCAACATTATTTTTCACTAGAATTTTACAAGTTGCAAGTAGTCGTTGTTTTTAAACTTACCGTCTACCTTGTGATGAACTTTTGAAAGTAAGGATTCCATTGTATCAAATCTAGCCATCATACTGGTGTGAAAGGAAGACAGCTTTCCCATCATTCTTTCGTTCTCCTTTCTAGTTGGCATGTCGTCCAATTTTTTATAAATTGAAGCAAGTTTGACGTTTTGGAACATTTCCAGTTGATTTTTGACGTCATTGACATCAATCCGCTCGAAACCTAAAAAAAATTTGACTGTACAGTAAATTATGGTAATAATGAAAATAATGATATTGATAATAATAGTAATATACTATATTAGTAGATGATCATCATGACGATGACTGTATTGATATAAGGCAGAGATTAAGTTAAGTAACTGGTGAGAGGAAATAGTATGTGATGTCACTGTAGATACGGCATTTGAGTAATGAATAATACAGTTTTTACTTTCTACTACTGAAGCGGGCTCCTTTGAATTTGTTGTTCCGTTTAATTGACTGCAACGACCAGGTTGGCACAGGGAAAGCCCCTGAAGTGGAGATTCGCGTGAGTTGCCAAGAGAATGAAAACAACGTGGCAATCGCAGGCGGTCTAGTTTGATTTGACGAGATTGATAGACGATAAAGGACCAGAAGCATATTCGAAGGGTCATGATAGAAGCCAGGAATATGCTCTTCCACAGGTTATACAGTGGGCTTAATCTCTGCTCTCTTTAAGTGTATTTACATTGGTCTTGGGTTAAAATCCGACCTGGAGAATTGCCATATTAACAAGCTATTCGTTTAATAGTTAAATTACACTATTTGAGACATTTCTAGTACCTTCTGTTTTGTATGCAGAGAGTTGATCTAAAAGCTTCTTCCTTTTGTCGGGAGGCAGGGGCAGATATTGGAGCAGAGCCTCTAACTTGTCAAAGCACTGGTCAAAGAAGATTTGGGTCCAGTCGCTCTCTTTAAAATGACTTCCCCGATTCCGAATCTTTCTGACATCATCTGCCAACGGCTGAATATTCCAAGGATCGGAAGACGCGAATATTTGTATGGGATACTCCCTACATCCCAATAGTTTTAGACTGGTACTTAAATCCATAGATTTGTCGAATGCCGAGAACACTGCAAAGTAGCCTGGAAGATAAAGCTTGGCAAGATCAATTGAGCTGTCTACGTTGTAGTTGTAGCGGGACTTTTTGTTGTCTCCTTTCACATCAGAATTGTTGTTAATATTTGCAAATTTTAGTCCTTGAAGCGAAGGGGCAAAACTTGAAGTGGATGCCGATTGGTATACAGCATCGTAGGTCAGTGTTTGTAGACTGTGAGGTGTCGGTAAGCCATTAAGGTAATTGTCTAAGTAAGCATACAGCTTGTCCATGCCTTGTTTCACGATATCCCGTAAAACTGGAGCTACGACTTTATTTAAGGCAACAAGAGTCACAAGCCATCTTTTGTCGTTGCTTAGGACATCCATAGTAGCGAATTTTTCTGCTCAATGAATTGAACTCTGGATATGTTCTGTAAAGTGCACATAATTTAAAAAAAAGCATATCAGTAACAGAGGTGCTGTGGGTTTGAAACTAAACGAAATGTAGGCAGAAAGTTTCCATCATTTGTAAAAAAATAAAAACTGAGGGATAAGTCACTACTTGAGGACAGTTATCAGAATGATTAGGTTATCAGTATTCCACAGTTGCAGCCCCACATTTAGTAACACAAAGAGAATGGAATCATTGCTGTTTCTTTAGCGTGTGATACCCATCTAGAGGCTGCTTTAGTGAATAAAATGATTAGAATATGACGAAGACAAAACAAAACAAAACCAAAAACAGTTTATGTTAGAGTTGTCACGGTATAGCGTGAGGAGCTTGAGTGAAACAAAGCACTCTGATCGCACAAGGAAATGGCCCATAACTTTTTGCTTGGAGGGAAAGTTAGCTTTTACTTCATCAAGATTTCCCACTCTTATTATCATTTACCCTCTTAGTGCTCTATTTCATTCACAGTTTTCGCCTTTGTGACGGTTACGAATGTATGTTTGAGCCACCGAGGACTTCTTCCTGTCATGGAAACGCTCTAAAATTTGTGTACCTTTCCGGAGTCTTAACTTAGAACACGCATAGCAGCTCTGGAGAATTCGAAGCTACCGATTCGAGCAAATACAGTAGTACAACACCATGCTGTGTGAGAGTAGATCGGCAACAATTCGTCGTTTTAACATTGAGTATTGAACAGATGAGCTCCTGATTATATTCTCACGCTTTGAAAACCTTTGATTGCTGCCTTGTTTACTCGAGTGATATGAGCGTGATTGTCTAATCCAGGTCACGCCTGAAGGCACATGTCGTGAGCACATCATGATTTCAATCATGCAAATAAGCCACATTTAACATATATTGCAGCAACTAGGCACAAACAAATAAGAGGTTCCTGGAGGTTTTAAAATAAAGATAATTTCAATACCGTTGCATTCTCAGAAGCTGACATTACAATTTTACGTTCAGTTATCTCTAAAAGTACAAAGCTTAACGAAATGGGTTTGTACAAACCTTCCTTCTTTCTAAATCAGTCAGACATATTTAAATTTGAGGCGGCGCTCATTTGTAACGACGAAGTTTCGCGTAGCTAGAATGTACAACAATTTCAAATTGAATGAGTTAAAACTATTAACAAATCTTCAATCCAAAACAAAATCGAAACTGATAAAAAGTTTGCTTTCATTAGGTAAACACGAAACTACTACAAATGTTCGTTCCTTGTTAACTGAACCTTGCTTCTTCAATTTCTGTGCACTCGCTACAGTCACTGCACCTCCAATTTTCCATTTTGTGTTCAATATGTGGAGAGATTGGAGGTTCGTATTCAAAAGATTGAGTCCTCTGTACTTTTTGTTTCAAATAGCGTAATGATACCACGAAAGCGCATAGTTTCTTTTCCAAACAAACAACTCTCGGATCTTACTTCCGTCTTCACCTATAGCTATTTACTCGATTAGAATGATCCATGAAGCCGTAAGAAGCGTACTCTGCCGCTCATCTCAAATCGCGTCTCGTAATTTGAAGACTGCGAGCAAGTGATTACCATATACTGCTTATTAAATTCATTTCTCGCTCAAGCTCACCGTAAATTGAGGCCTCTACGTGTTTCCTTGCACCTCTTGACAGATATCTATTCCTTCAAAAATGTTCTGAAAAAGACGATAATGTCTTAGAAATTATTCTTGACCCAATTAGAGCGTGTTTCAAATAAAAGCAAATGCAATGACGAGATGATTTGGACGAAAGTCGAAATCGTGCTATTTCGTTTGCGCCTATTTAGCATCAGTTGTTGTCATGATTTCAAGGATGATTACAAAATGGTTATAATTAACTAGAATTTTTCCGTCTGAGTACAAGAGTACGTCAGATACACCTCGGTTTAAGTTGTATGAAATTTACTGGTTAGCTTAGGAATTAAAGAGCTGTTAAGCCTACCTTAACATTCACATATCAAACTCTTTCCCCAGCGCGACGAACATTTGTTTTTCTGGGTTCCAGGTGTACGCGACCACTAACCCTAAGTAATGCGCATGCTCTCCGTTGCGAATTTTCAAAATGGCGGACAGGTCAAAGAGGGAAATAAAGAAGCAAAGCGATTTTACAATAAATACTTAACATACACCCCCGTTAGAAAGGCGAATCCACGATAGAAAGATACAAAACTGTATGATATTGAGATCAGGGAGGTTGACAAAATCAACAAGAGAGGTTAAAAATTCATTACGTTGGCTACAGCACATGCTTCGATGAATGGACACCATTCAGGGCCGATAGAGGATCTGGATATTTTCCGTTTGTTCGCAGCGAAAAGCTGTTCATTCCCTCGGAAAACTCTCTAGAGGATAGAAAAGAATCGTTCCATGGCCAACTTGTTCGTGAAATAAAGAAAAAGCTTTGGTCTGGACGGCGAGAGGACCCTGATATAAACATAGACCTTAATGTTGACCAATATATTTTCATGGAAGATCTTGGGAGTGTGTTTTGCCCGGCGTTCTTCAAAGAGGGAAGATGGTTTACCAGTTGGAGTCAAATAGGGTGCCTGATTCATATCTGGGGCTGAAGTGGGATGAAAGAATTTTAAATGTAGCTGGAGATTTTACCTATGTAATTCCAGGAACTATTAAGTATTGGCTGGGACAAAGAAGTCCAATCATTGAATACAAGCTCATCATTGTAGGTGTTCTTAACCCTTTCATAACCTGCTGCCTCCAAGAACTGAATCCTGTTTTTCTTCAGAAACAGTTGTTTGAGGGCATCAACCCCTTTGTGATTTGTGGATCTGAAGAAATCTTTAGAAGCTCTACTATTGTATTTTTCCAAGCCTTGCTGTGTGTAATATGCTATGTTTTGATAAAGTTACAGGAACTCAGGAACATGATAACATAGTGCATGCATGTAGGGAGTGACATCTTTTGCTTGGTAAACTTTGAGAAAGTGCTCAAACCATGATTTGATATTTCTTTGCAGTTCAAGAATACCCTCTTCAGATGTAAAATATAGCTTCAAATCACCAATTATGTCCATAAATTTAGCCCAGATCACTTGTATGTCTTTGTTTTGACTGCAATGAGGGACAAGCATAGGTTGGAATGTTTATATTCTGGAAGAGTTTCAACTTTTCTGGTTCAGTAAGATCTCTATATTCCAGCTTTTTGCTCTCTTTATTGATTCTAAAATTAAAAGTGATTCCCATACTTTTGATAAATTCTTCATAACATGCCATGTGTTTATATTTATCCCTTGGGAATTCATCAGAGGTTTTTTTTCTCAATAGCATCACTTCTTCTCAGCTCTCTTATGAACAAGTCAATCAAAACATCTGAAATCCTCAGAAAAAAATGTAATGTATCTATGATGACATGGTCCATAGATATAAAATCAAATAATGGTTGCGCCTTACAGTTTAATTTCTTTCCAGTGGAAAACCTTGCTATTTTGGTGACAGTTTTAGCACCAAATTTGGGGTCATTAATTGACCATGTTTTGCTTGTGTCCCACCGTTACTCCCTGGGACACTTCCACCACACACAGGCATAATCGTCATTTGCCCTGCCTAAACCACATACCAGTGCTAAAAATTTCAAATCTTCATCTAAAAAGTATTCAATTTTATAGGTGCAATTATTTGCACTCATCTCCTTTAAGTTTGACATTTCCATTTGAAGGTCTGCTAGGCTGTCTCTCAGATTATCATATGTCTCTGTAGTTTTTATAACAGCAAGTATATAATTTCCCTTCACACCCATTGCCACATCCTTTTCATGGAGAATAGTAAAAGTGAAGTTGACAACTGTAAGCCCCTTTCCAATATTTGTAGCATCACCACTAAGCTTGATCTTAATAGTTTCTCCATCATTGATTTCTCCATTCTTCTGAAGCCTAACAATTTGCTCTTGCAAGCTTTCTGCAAATCCTGACTGAACAACTTCAGCATCTCCTGGTGTTGGTTTCAAGTTCCATTTACTGTTTAGCTCATTAATTTGCTTCTTGATGGAATATATATTGGGGAGATCATTAGCCTTAATGGCAATTTCATGCCAGGCCTCATTTGAAATAATGAATTTATCTTTAAGGTAGAGCCACATATTTATGTTATCAATGTCATCATTATTAAGGGCCTTTGGGTCAGACTCTGTAAATGGAAGCTCTCCCTCTCCAACAAGATTGAAAGTTTCATATTGATTAGTCTCAGTGTTGAGGACTTCAATTTTGGTTGCAACAAAACTGTACAGCCCAAGAAAGGAGAGTGTAGTTTGGCAACTACTACTCTTTTGATGGTGCTTGGAATAGTCATTAAACTTCTTCTTAGCTGGGCCTCTACCTTTTTTCCCATTTGTAATCACTTTTTGGCCAACTGAATAAATTTGTTATTTTAGAAGGCCCCTTTCTTCTCAGCTTTCTCGAGAGCTTCTCGGGATTTTTTATCCACTCGCAATCGCTTTGCCTTCTCCTGTACCATCGATTCTTCTAATTTTATTTTTTCTCCCCTCAACTGGCTGTTCTCATCTTTAAGCTGATGTACATCAACCTCGTTGTAATACACCTTAAATCGATACCGAGGGCCCGTTTCCAAATTGCTAAGAAGTGCATTTAATTGCCACGATTACTAGCTTTCTTGACAGCTTTCTGAAAACAGAATATTTTCTTTCTGAAGACTTCTGATATATGGCTATTGATTATTATACCTCGTATACCTGATTGCTCAAACACTTTGTTTACAATTATTGAAAGGACCGACTCATGGTTTTCTCTGAAAACTTCTTTGCTTTGAAATAGTATAGATTAGTAAGCTGAAACGAAAAATTAATCAGGGAAGTTTACGAAAAATCCAGCGAACAAGCTTAAAAAAGGCATTTATTTAGACTTCATACTGCGATGAACTTCACAAATCTTACTTGTTTATCTCGTAAGTAAACAATGGCAGATTGATTCCCGAAGTGCTTTCTGAGTTTCCCGATCCCTCTCCTACTGCTTTCACGCTCACAAAACAGGAAAAAATCAAAAGGAGGAAGATACAGCTGTTTTGAAACGCCATTTGACGAGGGTAAAGCTGCTTTTTGTTCGACACTTTACATATCAAAACAAAGGAAATTTGTTCCTCTTTTCGATTCTGGCGGTACATTTTTAAATTGCGCTTGCGAAAAAGGGATATCGCCCGAGACGCTTCGCTCGGTTGTGTTTTGAACAAAAACGCCTTGTTAATTTCACGCAACCGCTTGGAGAAAAGGTTAAAATGACGAGGGTAAAGCTTTACCTTCAAGTTAGAAAATTAGCGAAATATAAAGCCACAATATTGTAGTTTAATATTTCAGAGGTACATTGAGTGCTTTTTCCGTAGAGAATCCGCACGATGGTAAAATGTTCGAAAATTACATTCGATTTGAGTGGGGCGTTGAAGTGGGCGTGGTCACTATATTCGTGTTAAGACTATTTGTACCCCGTGAGTTTGATATGGTTAAAGCGAGAAATATCTTGATAAGTTTGAAGCTGCAAAAAAAAGCTGGAATGCTTGAACAAATATCCACGAGTTACCACTACGTTCGTATCTTCGAGGATTTAATGAGGTATAGAAAATGGCGGCTGAAACGTAAGAGATGGTGCACTACCACGACTTGAAAGGTCAGATACACCCCTAGCAACGGGAGAGTCCCTTTCTGAACAACACATTTGAGCCTTGCACAATTCAAAGTCAATTGAGAAGATATTCTAAACATGAGCTGACTTTGGATATCTTACGGAGCAAAGATAGAAATGAATTGACGAACACAGACTTAAAAAGCTACAAATACCAAGAAAATAGACTGAATTAGAGAAGTAAAAAGATCCCATTTAGACAATGACGTCATATTCGAATTCATTCAGTACGGTAAGGACAGTATCATGCAGAGCTCCCAATAGCACATCAACCAAAAAAGTTTGAAATGGAAAGAAACAACTTATAAGATGACTTATGACTCGTCCAGGACAACTTATATAAGTCAGTAGTGCTTTTTGCTCGTCCATGTCAACTTATAGGTCGACTTATAACTCGTCATGTCTACTAATAAGTCGACTTATAACTCGTCAAATCAACTTTAAAGTCGACTTACTCGTCCATATCGAATTTTAAGTCGACTAATAACTCTTCATGTCGACCAATAAGACGACTTATGACTCGTCCATGTCGACCTCGACCTATAACTCGTCCTACTCCACCTGCAAGGATCTACATCCGATGGGAGGCTGGGAATCAATCTCAAGATGGAAGACCGAAACCATCTTGTTGAACATTACTTAAATCTGGAATATCAAGAAAAGGAAACTCTATCATGTCTTCTACTGATACATAACCAGAGCCTGAGTTCCAGGCAGTAGAGGTAAATACTTGCACGGAGAGGTTTAACGTGAAGGAAACATGTATCCAACCTTTTAACAGTCATAAATCGCATAGAGAGAGAGAGAGCTTCAATCCACTGGACGTAATATCGGTTATCGGTCTATGTGGCAAAGACTCGTGGTCGACCATGACCTGGTGGTCGCTAAAGAAACTGTAAGACACACGCTGAGAATTTTGGATCCAGAGGGTGTTGAGGATAGATTAAGGCACAGACTGTAAAGGCGTCAATAAAAAGGGAGAGGTCCGAATTTTTTATGACACAATGACGGTTTTGATATTGCATACACGGGAGAATAGATGGCTGCAGTGGAAGAATTGTGTAGCTTGAAGTGGGTATTTCATGTAGAGTGTCTCAGATTTTGTAACATGGATCTAATCAAGGATGAAGTTCATAGATTTGCAAGACTTTGGAACAACCACCGAATCACACCATCAATCAACTGCGAGTCTTTCTCAGGCCGCCCAGATTTTCTATATTGTCTGCCAGAGATATCAGCCACACAGAATTTCCTTGTGTCCATTGACGACGATGAAATCAGCCTTTGTGAAAAGTAACTGTGTGACATGAGCTGTACCAGTCTTAACTGCAGCGAGGAATTTTTGGAATTGGCAACCATCCTCATGAACGAGGAAAACTTGATGCTACGCAAAAACCCCATGGAGAGAAATCCTTATTTGTCTTAGATATATGAAAATTCACATATTTGCACTGCGGTGGAGAGATGAAATTAAGGGATCCTCGCAGCTAAGAACACTACTGAAACTAGTAGTTGTAAATAGGACCTGAAAAAAATTCAGGCCCGTACGGAATTTGAACCCATGACCTCTGCGATACCGGTGCAGCGCTCTACCAATTGAGCTAACAAGCAAACTGGGAGCTGGTCAATGAATTGGGTCCAAATAAACATCCAAGTGAATGAAGATTTTAGATATATGAAAATTCACAAATTTGCACTGCGGTGGAGAGATGAAATTAAGGGATCCACGCAGCTAAGAACACTACTGAAACTAGTAGTTGTGAATTTTCATATATCTAAAATGAATATGAATATTCCTGAATATTTTTTATATATATTCCTGAATATTTTTTTCAGGTCCTATTTACAACTACTAGTTTCAGTAGTGTTCTTAGCTGCGAGGATCTTCTAATTTCATCTCTCCACCGCAGTGCAAATATGTGAATTTTCATATATCCAAATTCTTCATTCACTTGGATGTTTATTTGTACCCAATTCATTGACCAGCTCCCAGTTGGCTTGTTAGCTCAATTGGTAGAGCGCTGCACCGGTATCGCAGAGGTCATGGGTTCAAATCCCGTACGGGCCTGAATTTTTTCAGGTCCTATTTACAACTACTAGTTTCAGTAGTGTTCTTAGCTGCGAGGATCTTCTAATTTCATCTCTCCACCGCAGTGCAAATATGTGAATTTTCATATATCCAAATTCTTTAAACCATGTGCACTTCATGCATGAATTGCACTGCTGAGGGCCAATAAGATATCAGTGAGCTATTGATTTAAAAGTGGACGTAATATTTAAAGGTTTTAATTACCTAAGTCGAGTACATAACTTTGAGGGCTGTTAATTTGTGTGCCATTTATGAATCAAAAACCTGACATTGACGCTGAGTTCTATTTTTTTACTTCATTACACTCACAGCCTGGGGTAACCATCCAACAGCCTGGTTACTGGGCTGTTCCCCCTGGGTCCAACCCGGCTGGTATGGTGACTGTGACACACGCAAGTGCTCTTAGTCCACAGATACAGACCCAAATATAATCTCAGGTATGCAAAATAATGATTGTAGTCAGTGAGCAGGCTGCATGGACTGATCTGACAAGCGTCTGCGCATGCGCTAAGCTTTGGCGCGGAAAACGGATTTGGAGTCGTTTGCACGTTCGATTTTCTATTCTGTTGTATGTAAGCGTTGTTTCCTTGCCGCTTTTCTTTCACAGAACAACCTCCAAAACTTTGTACACCCCTAAATATTTTCAAAAATTCATTTCTCCTTAAAAACACTGGAAATAGAAAAATGCCCTCAACGGCGACAAAATGACTCGGTTTTAAATGCCAGCCCCTTTTTTCTCCGCAAATTTTGCTGAATTTTTCACCTCGAATTCCTGAGCCCTGAGTTATTGACCGTTTACCTGTGACGTAGCCTTTCGTTATTCAGTTCTGCCGTTGGTGAGCAGGCTGCATGAACAGCATAACCTACGAGATACAACACAGCGGTCAAACGTAGGGCATGCGCAAGGGGATAAATTTTGGCCGGCCGAGGGCCAATTTCCCGCGCAAAGTTCAGAGGAGACGTAAGAAAAACCCTGTCACGCCAAATAAGTGAAACAAAAAAACGTTTTCAGGTGCCTTCCGACAGTCCTTTTTTCTAAAACCATCTCGTGTAATTTAAGTTTTTTTTTTTTTCTGTCTACAGACGCTAGTTACTGATGAGAGGCCGCCACCCTATGCTGCATATATGCAGACGAGCAATCCTCCACCTTGAAGTGTTTCGCTTGATGTTACCCCGTGTGGACTGGTTGATATCTGAGTCTATGCTGTGATGGGGCATAATTTATTTTGAAAGTTTCTGTAAATAGCCGACCAAGCATTTAGTGTAGCCTTGTAAAGGACCATTTCATCTGAACTCGACAAATGGGTTGCCTGGAATTGTCGCCTTTTTATATGAAAATAATTTTTATCTTGGTTACCAAGTTGTTTGCGAAGTTTAAGATTGGTAGGAGCCTGGTGCTTCTCTCTTCAAATTAAATCGCTTTTTACTTGCGATACTTTGGCGTTCTTGTGTACATTATGAGAGATATCCTTCTTACTAACCTCGTTCCAAGTAAGGTTTTCGCTTCTAATGGTTGTTCGCCCCTCCCAATAGGGCACTGTGTACAAGATCGAAAGGTTGGTATTAAAATTTTGATTTTAGAATTTATTATTTATTGAATTTCCTCCAGTATTTATCGTCATAACTTATTTTGTAGAGTGACGCCGAGTGATCATGTATTTATAGCATGCCCCATCAGTCTAATAAAGATGTTATTGCACGCAACACTGAATGTTGTGATATTTATTTCTGACGTAGAATTAAGTTGAAATGAAGACTGTCAATTACGCAATACACTGGTACAGTTTTCTTCTATGCCGACCTACACCTTCGCTGTTTATATGCAGTGTCAAACAACTATTAAATTACCTCCTATTATATAAATTAGGGTGTGGAGGGTAATATGGAATCACATCGGTTTTGTTATATCGCTTTCTGTGATTGGTCAACAAACCTACGCCATCCAATCAGGAGGAAAAGCCCGAAATCAATCGCGAAATGGTTACCCGCGTTTTCCTGCCCTGTAGAGCTCTTTTTAAATGTCATATTTTGGGCGCTGATTGGTTCCTTTGGGATGTTGTTTTTTGTTCCAATTGGCCCATGTGATTACTTAAGTTCTGGGTTTAAAAAGTTTTTCCGAGCCTTAAACTCTGCTTAAGGACAAACTGAAGAAGAAGCTAAGTGTACAAACTTTCACGTGGATAAGTTGTACTCCAGTTTATCCTTTCCGTAAGAATAAAAATACTCGGCCTCTTTCGTTTCGCAAGAACTGGAAAGTACTAGGAATGAACACCTACAAGTGTTGTTTACAGCTAATGTCAAGTTATATTAAAGTTCACTTGGCAACCAGGTGGACAATCAGACATGGTTTGATGCTACTCTGGTTTATAGATTTAATGAATATAACCGAAGAAGTTACAATTGTAACTTCTTCGATTACAATCATTAAATCTGTAAACCAGAGTAGCATCAAACCATGTCTTACTGTCATGAGTTTTTGAAAAAGACACGTGTCTAGATTATTTTGTATTGCCCTGGCCTCGTACCGTGAATTTGTCTCTCTTAGAGTTTAAAGCCAAAAACTAATTAAATTCCATGATTTTTTTGTGTGCTCCTAAGCTTATGCAGAGTCTATTTCAAAAAGAATTACGATTTAATTAAAGAAAAATATTTTGTTAGAATCTCCATTTGCTAATTAATTTTCAAATACTCATATTTTATAATTAAATGATTTGTCAAATGATATAGGGCACGTTGAAAAATTAGGGTAAAACAAGGTAATTCACACGTACGAAAGATAAATGTAAAATCACATGATTTTTATTTAGCCGCTTTCTCTGGCTCTAATTTTTGCACCTATTTACAGTAGGGTTTTTTGAGAGAGGTACATTCCTTTTGTGTGGTATCTAGGGCTATTGAAAAGGTACTTCAAATTGATTAAAAATTATACAAAAAAATACCCGTTGAACCGACTGTTATATCAACCATATATGCAGGCGAAATAAAACTTTTACATATGTACAAAACAAAAGCGAATAAGCGCAGGATTTTCTCACAGCCAATCATCTTCCACTTTCTCAATCAACGTTCCTTCAAAAAAGGTCAAAATAATTAAAAAAATCAAATTAACATTTACTGATCCAAAACATTAAATGAATTTTAGGTAACACAGCGATGTAAATAATAGTGCCATACCGTTATGAAATGAAATTTTCACGATGATCTTGGCTTCAAGACAATTCTTGTTTGCGCTGATTAAATGTAAAACAAAGATAGTGTGCTGAAAAGTCTAAAATAATAACAACAGTACAAGTTAACTGAAATTTTCATCGAGTAACTTTAAGCCATGTTCAAGGTACTTTAAGCCTTGTCCTGCCCCTTTAATGGCAGCTTTTAAGAGAGATTGACTGCCCGCTGGTTGAATTTCCGCCGATTGACTTTCAGTTGACTGACTTTCCGCCGATTGACTTTCCGCCGATTAACTTTCCGCCAGTTGACTTTGCACCGATTGACTTTCCGAGTCTCTTTGGGGAAGGCTTCTTTTCGGTTTAAGATACTCCTCAATTTCTGTTTCTTTGTTCATGCGAGCCAAGTCAGCCGCATCCTTTCTATCCACTTTCAAGTTAACGTCGGCGTTGGTTTCAACCAGTTTTTTAACCACTTGAATGTTGCCATACATCGCTGCCAAATGCAGTGGGGTAAAGCCGTCCATGTCGCTCGCGTTTATATCTGCTTTGTACTTTACTAGCAGATCTACGATCTCGAGACTAGCACTTTTGCTGGCGACATGAAGAACTGTCTGACTTTGTGTGTCAGAGAAGGTATCACTCATTTCAGTGATACTCTTCCGTATGTCCTCTGGAGGATCCTTTCCCCATCCACTCGTGAGGACGAGTCCAAAGTCTGCAACGTTAAGACTACCACCGTTAGTGCCCCTCAAGAACAAGGGCAATAAAGCTTTCTCTACTAGGACATAATCCCAGGCTTGTTCCCCTTTATTCTTCCCACTAACAAGGTAAATTCTATCTTTTGCATTCTCCTTGTATTTTATATTGACATCAGCGTTATCTACAAGCAGACGCCGCACTAGGTGCTCATGATTATTACTGACTGCATAATAAAGCGGGGTATTTCCATCGACTTCTTGAGCATCCACATTAGCTCCTTTAATCAATAGGATGTCAGTGGCCATGTATTTGTTGCCATAAACTGTCACATGTAAAGGTGCAACTTTGTCGTCTGTCCTGTGAGCATTTACGTCAGCTCCAAGATCAATGAGGGTGTTCATGAACTCACCAGAAGCTGAAGGACTTGCCCACAACAAAGGTGTGCGGTTGCTTTTTCCTGGGATGTTTATATCCACCTTCTCGTTTAGAACAATCTCGACGGCCTTCTCTACATCATCGATGCCTCTACACAAATGCAGCTCAGCTAATGTATCGATCTTTCCAATATCCTCTTTGTACAGTTTTTCTATCTTAACATATCCCTCTCCTTTATCTCGGAGAGCCAAGAGAATCTCTAACGCAGTTTTTCCAGGAAATACCTTTGCTTGACTTCCTGTCTTTTGCAAATTAATGTCTTCACTATAATTTCCAAGATAGAAAGAAGCTTTGAGAACCGTGTCATAGTCGCCATGAAATACAGCTGCCTGCAGTCGATTGAAACCGGATCGTGCATCTACATGGAGAAAAGCTTCTCTTGAAAGGGACAGCAGGCTAGGCTGAAATGAAAAATAGGTTGTAGTTAACAGAAAAATAGTTCTTAGGACAACATCATACGATTCAGATTATGTAGACTCTACATGAGCTGTGTCTGTCTTGTGTGATACTGATACAAGTATAGCATGTCATGACGAGTTCAACATAAAATTTAACATAAAAACTAGTACATCATTTAAGGGTCAGTATTCAAAAAAACTAAAAATGGCAATGTTGAATCGCAATCTCAAGTAAACAAGACACAGATTATCTTCCGTTAAAGATCCTGCCAGTCATATTTTAGACCTCTCCACGGAGAGCATCCCAAGATTGAAAGGAGAGCATGTGAACATCAAAATGTATGCACTGCTGTTCGATATTGAAAACGAAAACGCAGCCGTACACCAAACATAAAACTATTGCGAACTGGTGATAAACAACCGTAATGAAAAGAAGCGTTTGCTAAATCTTGTTGACTTAACCAGATGCTCCTCTCAGTGTGTATGGAAAGATGTTTTAGAAGCAGTTACAAAACATGAAAGAAAAATAAAGATTTAACCATACCGGTTGGTTGTAACTGGGACTCACATTATTCCTCAGAAACAGCTCAATAATGGATTGGTGATTGTTGCGTTCAGCCTTTTGTAGCGCTGTTTTTTTAAACTAAAAAGTAGAAAATTGTCAATTTCAAAGGTCAAAAAATTAGAGTAACTGCCACTCACTCAAAAAGATGAGTATTCCTGGAAGCGAGATACAATTGACTAAAGAAAGGTTTCAAGAGCTTATGAAATGCTTTGCTTGCCTAGAATTTTTTTAAATCAATACTGTATGTCTGACGCATTGCCAAAACAGAATCACGAGTGGTCACTAACTTACCCTATCTACAGCATTGACATTTGCACCGTGCTGTAACAAGAGTTCAACAACAGCTCGTTGCCCATACCATGCAGCAAGGTGAAGAGGCGTTAAATTAAACTGAAAAATCAAAGCAAATCGTTTGGCAAAGGTCGAATACTTATCAATTTATATTAAGAGCAGACACATATAAACGCAAAATCAATTGCAAGCTAGCAACCTCATCCGTCTGGTCCACATCTTCACCACTTTCAAGAAGTACTTTGACAACGTTATATCGACCGCTGATTGCAGCTTTGTGTAGAATGTTTCTTGATAACTGTGAAAATAGGACTGATTTTTAGCACATCGCTAGTATAGTAAGACACTTATAATAGATATATATAAGTATATATATGGATAGATATTGACTAGGAAATTAGGTTAATTTAGGACATGGCTTCTAGGCTACGCTTGGCGCTCTACTGTGCCATTAGGATTCATAGTATTAAGATGTGTAACACTGCTGATACAATAATAATAATAATAATGATGATGATGATGATGATAATAATGTCCCTCGTGGATGCACCATTACACTGCAGAGAATACCCTCTCAAACCATTTTGATTATTAATAGGGCTATCCGAAACGTAGCAAAAGTACAGAAGAGGAGAATCTGAGTAAAAATTCGAGAACTTGAAGGGTACTAAGAGGAGCTCATGCTGAG